CAAACACATTCGTCAGATATGATTTCGCTGCTCCTGGTGAGCTAAGAACCTTTGCGACCACGAGATTCTTCGACATCGTTCCTGGACCGATAGAAGAAAGCGTGTTTGAGACGCCATGCAGTTGATAACAAAGTAATTGCGTATTGTGCCATTTTTGCCGCTCGGTCTGTCAAGAATGAGAGTGTAGCTTTGGACAAAGCGATGGATTATAATATACAGTTATAAAATAATAGGACAACGAAACTGTATGGCCAAGAGACAATGAAAGCCAGGAAAGGCGCGTGAAATGTAAATACATCATTCTCGACGATACAAGGGCGTGGTTCTTTCAAAGTCGTGTGGCACTTTGGACAAAGGGATTAAGGTGGAGGTATCCCAACAGTCAGTCGAGCATGGTGACAAAGTCAAAATCGGTGAGTGCGTCAAAAATGAGAGATCTGCTCACCTTGCATCGCGTTCAGTTCGAGGAGGCACGGTCACGAGTTATTTACGTCACAATTGTCACGCCGCAATGCATGTCACTCTTTCCTTACAGTTACTTGGTCTTTCGCTCTAGCTGGATGCCTGCAGTCCTTGAGGTATGTATGTCCGTGTTCTCAATTACTTATGCTACAACCAACTTGTCATTGTATTTCAGTGGCCACTTCACTCTTCCTCTTCCTCTTCCATTATGTTGTCCAGAGGTTCCCCATGCTTATAGCGAGCAAAACTGGCGCGCCCTGTTTTCCCATGTGCAATGTGCGGCGGCTCGGGCATCGCTTGCTTCCGTTGCTCGACCAAGTCTCCACCTCTCTCTTGTGCAATCAGCCGATCGGTCTCCTCCCCGTTTGACTCCTTTTCCGGTGTGAGGGTTGTCTCTAGCGCCAGAAAATCTTCATTACACAAACCCGAGTCGATCTCGTCCTCCCAATCTGACTCCTTGTCCGACTGGAGGGGTGTCTCTAGCGCGACAAAACCTTCATCAAGCAAATCCGAGTCAACGTGGTCCTCCCATGGCCAATCCGACTCATTGTCCGGCGGAAGGGACGTCGCTAGTGCCATAAAATCTTCATCAAGCAAATTCGGGCCTGCCAATTTGAGGAGGTCGTGAATACGCCAAAGCCAGTCCTCCTCGTATATGAGCAAGCCTTCGTCCTCACCATCTGACTCCTTGTCTACCCGGAGGGGCGCCGCTAGCGCCAGAAAATCTTCATCGAGCAAATTCGGGTCTGCCAATTTGAGGAGGTCATGAAGACGCGAAAGCCATCCCCTCTCGTATACGTGCGAGCCTCTTGGAAGATATTCAAAAACTTCTTCAAGAACATGATCCCTGTAATGACGCGGCAGAGGGGTTGTTGGGGCTACCGCAAGGGAGCCGCGGGGGGGAATATCCGACTCCAACTCACGCATGAATACAAAGGAATCATCGATGGCCTCTTCAACAGGTGGTAGTGGGAGAGGAGAGAAATCCTGCTCTTGATCGGGCGAGAGTGGAACTGGGGCCACTGCAAAGAGGTCGTGGACAGGGAAATCCTCTTGTCGATCGGGAGGCAGTTGAATTGTCAATGCCAGCGCAAGCAAGTCCTGAACAGGAAAATCCGACTCTTCATCAGCGGGGAGTCGAGTGTTTAGCGCGAGTTCATAAAGATCCACTGGTACCTCACGGC